AGTGGGAAAATGGGGAACATAAATCAGGAGTTGGCAGCTCTCCTACTTCCACTTATGTGTGAATTCCAAACAGAAATGCGGGGTATAAAGTATTTCCACAAGTCATATACTCAAAAAAGCAGTTTCAGCAGTTCAACCATCTAACAATTACAAATTAATGTGTCAAAAAATGTCTGGACAATGCCATCATCTGAAGTTGTTCTAAGTAAATTTCTTATTGATAAGGGAGGTAAAGTATCCAAACATTAGACAAGAGCTATAAAAACACAAAATTTAAGCAGTTATTCCGAAACACAAAGACTTTAAAGAATTATACAATCACTGAAGATCTCTAAGTTAAGAAGGAGAAGTAGCCAGGTATACACACCAATCATCTTAGCACTAAGGCTGGGGCAGGAGAATCCCTAGCTCCAAGCTAGTCTGGGCTAGGGCAGGAGAATCCCTAGCTCCAAGCTAGTCTGGGCTAGGGCAGGAGAATCCCTAGCTCCAAGCTAGTCTGGGCTACTCATAGAGACTCTGTCTCAAACAAGAACAATAAAAAAAAACAATAGTCACTGGGCCTGGTGGCACAGTCCTTTAATCCCAGCACTTGGGAGGCAGAGGCAGGCAGATCTCTGTGAGTTTGTGGCCAGCCTGGTCTACAGAGTGAGTTCTAGGACAACCAGAGCTGTTACAGAGAAATCTTGTCTCAAAAAAGGGGGGGAGGTAGAAAAAGCAAGATGCCTATGAATACTAAATCCCACCAATAACAACCATCTGTTTCATTTACAGTCACAGGGAAAAGATTTTCACCAGTATCAATACTTAAATTACAACTGTTACCTTCAAAAACTTCAGATATAATTAGGTTGCATGACAAAGCATCATTACATCCTCAGTGTCAGTCTAGAATACAGATATAGCTATAATAAGGTATGCACTTGCCACCTCTTCACCTGAACACCTCCTAGTCTACCTCTGATGGCAATCTCCAAGTTATTTTTTGCACACATCTTTTGGGTAATGTCACCACATGACTTCTCAGGATTAGTCAATGATCTAGAATGAAACATGCTCGCCTATAATAAAGAATATGTGGGTATACACACAAATTCTGGGGCTATTTTTCCCCCAGAGGCAAAAAGGCAACAATGAACTAAATAAATAATAAACAAATGACCGAAAAGTATCTCACAAAGCTAAAAAGTCAATAACTTATCAAAGTTTATCAGTGTAACCTTTATGCAAAAGTAGGAATAAAACAAATCTTTATTATGTGAACAAATTTCAGTGAACTTTTACATGGTATTTATCATGTGTTTTGCCAGGAATAAAGGCATACATAAAGTAAACCATAGTCAATATTTATTTTTTTATGTTTACTAATTACTAATTGTGACAGATAACAATTTTGCAAGAATAAATCTTTAAATTCTTGCCTTTGTGTAATGAGAAGGAGAAAAGCCAGTAACTCTGATAAGGCTTAGTAAGATCTGCAGGTGATCAAGGCAGTCCTCTTCTAAAAAGGTTCTGGGAAATTAAAAGGATTTGAAAGGGTACTCTGCCATTATAAATTATTAGAAATTCCTAAAGAAATGAAGTGCTAATTTTAAAAGGAGCGTCCCAAAATGCTTTGAGACACATGTTTATCAGTGTCTATAGTGGTCAAAGTATCAATTCAGCTTAACGTCACTCTCCCAGTCATAAAATGTTCACTTTCTGTTTAGATAGTTAACTCTTATTTTCACAAAGTACACAAGAATCTAGGACCCAAGTAGGGAATGATTGGAAAATACTCACAATCAACTTGCTGATCCTTTGAAAGTGTTCCCTTTACACAAAAACGTAAACATGAAGGAAAATCCAAACTTAACCAGGATGATGCCAAAACATATTCTAATTTTCCTTAAAAGTAAATATAATCAAGTTTATCATCTTGCTAAATATAGAGAGCAAAGAATTATCAGTGGTTATCAAAAATGCCAGATACCACCAAGCCACAGATGACTAATAGAGTTTAAAATGTGGTAATAGACACTGAACATTGCACCAAAAACAAACAAACAAAAGAAAAAACTCATTATACTCTTACAAACATATCAAAAAAAAAAAATCGCCCAATTAAACAAATATGAGGCTTAAATCTTCCACTTCAGCAGTGAAATCTTTTCAGCGTTCATTGAACATCTAATAGGGGTTGATATAATTCTTGTCCTCTTGTACAAAACTGCTTGGTTTGTAACAGCCAAATGGAATAAAAGCAAACATTAGACGGTAAAATTATTTTCAGATGCAGCTTAGACAAAGCAGGCTAAAACCACTGGCTTTAGACTGCTGCTTTAGAGAACTGAATTTACTTTCATGATATAGTATGCTAAACATAAAGCTTGTCTTCAAACTCAAGAGCAGAATAATTTTAATAGTATCCAAACGTTCTCCAAAAAACAAAATCGAAAATGTGAGCTAGACAATACATAACAATAAAAATAAGAAAAATAAACTAGACACTTTTGGAAAAAATATTTTCATTATGAAAGGCTTTCAATTACAAGTCCTTTCTAGAAATAAAAATGTTCAGATGTGAGTGAGGATAATGTAGTGTGAAAAAAATAACCTCAGTTTTAAGCCCTTTAATTTTTTCATTGTCTACGCATCTTCTCACCTGCAGAATAACTGGGGGAGGGGAGGAGCTTCCCCCAAAAGATGCCAACTTCAATAACTGTTCATATCTCCAAGAGGACAGATAAAAGTTTCAACTGAATGCTGGTAAAAAAGAATCCAATTAAAGAAAATATATTTAATTTGAAATGTTTTAAAGTCAATGCCTCAATTTAAGACTAAAACACTAAGCTGAATGTTACTTCTCAACTGAAAACACTTCTTTCCTTAGCCAGACTTAACTGAAAAAACAAGGCAAGAAAATTCACATGACTAGCAATACTTTACCTCCAAATTTTATCCTAGCATTAAAAAAAAAAAAATCAAGCTAATTACACTGAAAGACAAGATAATGCTGAAACTAAGCAGCTTGATGGTTCATTTCTAAAGAATCGCTAGTAAGGCTATGAATGAACACTAACTACACAGTAAATGTGCTGACTAAAACTCAACTCGTAAAATCATTACAGAAGATGAATTATGAATCAGGAGTAACTTAACATCGGTGTTCAAATTGGCAACCTGAACCTAATAATTTACCTTAGCTTGTCAAGTAGGGCTCCAGAGAAAGGGCTCTAACTAGGTCAAGTGTGCTCACAAGAAGGTGAGACAGAAGAATTTTGCCTGCCTTGCTCCACAGGCAAAATTAAGTCAAAAAGGTGAAAGTCAAGAATGAAAGGGATTCAATGTGAAGAAGCTGTTCAAATCTACCAAGTAGGTTTTCGCAGCTAAGCGCTGCTGTGCTTTAGCAAGCACCTCTTCCAAGAAATCAAAACTAGAGCTAGTTCCTGACTTGGCACCAACCCTAATAAAGTGTGGGGTCGCGCAGGAGAAGTCCACCCAGCTTACAACTTAACCCAAGGCCCAGTCGGCTCGCTGTCACCGGAGGCTTCCCGCCGTGCGCAACTGCTCTCCGGTACTCAGCGGCTGGATACCTGCCCTCACCCCACCCCCGGAACTCTCCCCGCAGCTCTGTTACGAACGGCCACTGCACCGGGCTGGAGCGGCGCTTATCTGTCGGCCCCAGGTCTGCCCCCGTGCCCCGCCAGGCCCGGATGCGCTCACCCAGTGGGCGCCCGGGGCTCAGACTGCCGCGAGCACCGGCCGGTCACGTGCCTCGGAGGGGGCCAAGATCCGCGTCCCGACACTTGGGAAGACGCCATCAAAGAAACTGGCGGCGACGAGGACACGTCCGCCCCGGGGCCCTGCGGACCCCGAAGGGGGAGGCCTACGGCCAGGAGTGGGCCGCGTGGGGGAGAGGGGGCGGAGCGCCGCCAGGTGGGGGCCGGGTGGCACAGGTGGGCCGTGCGGGCACAGGTGGGCGGCCAGGTGCAGTCCCGCGGGCACTAGTGCGGTCTGAGGACTCACGTACGGGGCGAGGGAGGGTCCCGGTGACACGGGTGGGGGTCTCGGGACACACGTGGGTGGCCGGGCGGGGCCCGGGGGACACAAGTGCACGACCAGGTGCGCCCCGGGGCGCAGGTGGCCGGCCCGGCCGCCGCGCAAGCCACCAAGCCGCCTCGGACCCCGCCCGGGCGGCGGGGCGCGGCAAGAGGCGACAAGGACGACCTCCCCGAGGGACCCTGCCGGCCAGCGCGGTGGGCGGAGGCCGAGGGGACAGGGCCGCAGGCGAGGGCGGGTCCGCGGTCTGGCGGGCGGGCCGGCGGGGGAGGGGCGGCCGCGGGACCCCACCGCGCTCTGCCTCCCGCGGCCTCGGCGTCGCCGGCCTGCGCGCGCCCCCTCCCCTCCCGTCCCCGCGGCGGCGCTCACCTCGGTCGGCTGGCTGATCTCGAACAGGTCCAGCCGGTTGGCGTTCCAGTGGTGAATGATGTCGGCCAGCTTCCGCCGCTCTTCGTCGCGGCCGCCCGCCGACATGATCGCGGCCGCTCCTCCCCACGGTCGGCCGGGCCCAGACACCGCAGG